TCACTGTGAAGATTTATTTTCAAATTGCTGAATGTTAATCACAGTGTAATGCATGTAAATGTATGTAAATGTAATCGAATCCGAGGAAATGAAATTAAACCTAGCTAGATTATTTGGTCTAAGAAAGACGTCCCGAAATTTCGTTTTATTTAAGTCATTGAATTCTTAAGATTGTACCATTAAATTTCATTTTGTTAATTGAATTCATTTCGTTAAAAAACATCAATGTTGTCATTATGAAAAAATGAACGGCTAACGTACCTTTTGGCAATGGTTTCTTAGAGAGGATAAACAGAAAAAATAGGTGAAGAAAGGAGAAAAGAAACCAATCCCCAATGAAAATATTTTTTTTTTGATTGCTCCTGAAAAAAAGATACATTTGCAAGTGCACTGTACATTTACTGTTCAGTGCAAACTACACACCAGAAATTAACCCCAAGAATGACTTGTAATGCTGAGCATTGTATTTTTCAACCTGTAGAGCGTTTTGGTAATGTGTAAATGATGCTCGATGAAATTTTTAACAGCATGGGAGTGTGGATTTTGGATCCGTGTGTAAAAAAAATAATTTACTAGATATTTTCACAGACGTCCGCGCTGAATCTTAATCACGTACATGTGGCGTCTGATGACACACGAATGGAAATGTTTGAATCGGAACCAAACCTTGCAAGTTATAAATACAGGTTTATGTGTAAAGTGTTTTAATCACAATTAATAAAGTTATAATGTTTTCTAGTGGGAGTGGACACGGCTATCCCAGAATAAAACTCCTAAACCTTTCACTTCTTGACATGAATTACAAAAATGAGATTTTTTTTTTTAAATTTAATCTTTTTCACGGACGTCCTCGCTGAATCGTTCACGTACATATTGAACATGTTGAGTGACTGTCTTGGATGTACATGAATGATACAAGAAATAATTAAAAAATAACGAATTTAAGATTTCTCGTTAGTTTACTATTATTATAATTATAGCTGAGGAGAAGTGTCACTGAATAAAGATTTCAAGCTCATTAGTCATGTTAGTTTCGTACTCTGCTTTTAAATGTCTGAAGTTGTAAACAAATAACTGCTTGGATTCACATATTTTATTTAGCCAATCAAGGTACGCTTTACAAAAGTTATTGGAAAAACACAACATAAATATTCAAGTCAAAGGGACTATTTACAAATGGCGAGCCAGGTATTGATATTTTTGCGCTTATTTTCAGTAGTTATATATAAAGCTGCACACGAGTTACTGATAAGGCACACACCATATTTATACATGACGTATATAAATATATTACTTTTTCTAAATTTGATACACTTTTAGCTGCAGAATTGTAGGCTGTGGTTTTGAATAAGTCTCCTTTGACTAAGCAAATACATATATGTTAAAACAACGCTAATAAACAGTTCTGCAGATAGGTACATTTCATTTGTTACACCCGAACGTTTCCTAACAGTTGTTTCCTATTGTCTTAATCATATCAATTTATCTCTTGTTGCATTTTCACTTATTTGCATGTATTAGTCTGACCTGTTCATGTTGCTTATTAAATCTTGCTTACTTTAGCTGCTGACCTACGTGACAGACAAATGCAGTATAAATTAAATATACTTGTATTATAATACAATATTGTTTCTGCAGCGACTGTAACCATTAACTTCTGCGTAAACGATGTAAACGAAGAAACAAATTTTCGTGTATCTGTTTCTTTGTCTGAAAACGCGTTCCTGCTATCATTTACACGATTAATGAAGAAACTACACTGCAAATGTAGCACTATCACAAACCAAATTAAACTATAGCATTGAAAATTGAATACTAACTGCATAGTAGATATACATGTACAAAGAATTGAAAAGTAGAAGAATTTCTTTTTTATATCTGCAATATACAGATATAGTGATAGGATTAAGGAGAATGATTATCAATGATTATTTTAGGTAAAAACAACCATAATCAACGCCAAAACATGATGGGAAATAGTTCATCATAAATTTTCACCTGAAAGTATATAAATTACAGGAATAATATAGAACAAAGACAAAATTATATATGCAAGTCATTGGCAAGGGAGACCGAATTGAGGATATTGCTGAAGAAGGTTGTGCTTCTTCTGTTTCATGATACAAGATGGCTTGCTCCTCTACTACAGTAAAGTTTATGAAAAGTGTTTCACTTATTCTGGACATAGGTACCTTAGCCCTTTCTTGCCGATTGAAAGTCGAAGTTCAAAAATCAGGCTCAAATAATTTCCATCAGTATTTGAATACTCACAAACACAAGTTGTTTCACCTTCACGAAAAGAGGAATTGTTGTCGATGTGTAGGAGGGCAAACACAAAGAACTTATTTAACAAAGAACCAATGGAGTATGCTTTTTAACGCAAATTTAAAACCTTGCGTTAAGAATAAACCTTGCTTGTGTCAGCATGAACCGCAACCAAATGTATCTGAAGATGATTTAGACCTTACATTACTATGTTGCATTCTGCAAAACATATGCTCACTAAGCCCAGCGGAGTATCAAGATATTACAAATTTAAGGGACAGGAGAAATATCATTGCACATTCCAAAAATGCTCACATGAACGATGCCACTTATGTAAAGGAAATAACGGCAATTAAAGACGCTATCGAATCCATTGCAAATCGCTGTGGAAAAAGTGAACATGACAAAGTTAAAAGAGAAATAGAAAATGTTATGAAAAGCCAGCTAAACGACAACATGGGTCGATTTGTTTTGTCCTCACTTCATAATGTGGAGGAAACGACAGAAGAGATTCGGAAAGATTTACTCCGCTTCAGGAATCATTTGGGGATTCACAATAATAAAGATATGGATCCTAACAAAGTAATTATAGTTCTTAACAACCTTCACATTTAATTTATTTTAACGTAAATTTTTGGTTTTAAATTTGTAATACTTGTAGCCATGTTTCAATTGTCTGAAGCACATTTAAAACCAATGTAGAAAATCAGCTAAATTAATTTTCTCGATAAATGTTAGTTCAGCTGCAAAAATGTACGTACATTAATTTTGCACATTTCCGAGTTTAACAAAGATGTAAATATACATTTGAGCACTTGAATTAATTTCAAATGCTTTATTTTAACTAAATTTATTATTTTACTCTTTTTTTATCATCCTAGGAAAGCCAGTCAGTGGACAAAAACCAAAAGGGACCGTTTGAAGCCGAATCCTGGGAGGTGGTTTTATTTTATGTCGCCGGTATATTTTCTATAGGATGTCTTATTGGAACAATTCTGTATTGTTACCTGTATATCATGCCAAAAAGATGATTAAATTATTCAAACATTTATACCTTGCGATCAGGTATTTTAAAGATGTATGAGTACATGTAAATTTACCATTGCTCTTTCAAGCAAAGCAGAATCAAACGTCAAGTACGGAATCAGCGTCTATATATAACAAATACAAACCAGCTTTACTGCAATATACACATGAGTTGTAGTATAATCAAAGTACTGTGAGTACTGAAAGACGGTGGCATGAATGATTTTGTTTGTTTAACACCCCTTTCGAGAATAAAATTTTTAGCAGCGAAGGATATTTTTCTGGCTAGCAATTACTGCGACACGAGATCTCAATCTGAATTAAGGGCCGATATCCATGTCACGCAGTGGGAGTCGAATCCGCGACGCCGGTAAGGATGGACTTCTTCAGGTCCGTGAGTCCAAAGCAAACCCGCTACGTCAAATGGCGACTGGCAGTATATAAGAAAAAATGTTTTAAGATTTTGTAAAATGATATGGAAATTATAAAAGTTTATTTAAGTTTTTCACACTATATCTACCTGTATTTTAATATATAAATTTATATTTTTTGTACTTAAAAGTATAAAGTGTTATGAATTGTCACTGTTTTCTAAAATTGTTACTATCCTATTATAATTTTCATTAAAAAAACATAGCAAACTTCAAATAGGTATATGCATAAATAAGCAATTGCAAATTATCAGATTTCATTTAATGTGTTTTGTCGCCTTACGACACACGGATGATAATGATGTCAAAATGTCTAAAGCAGCGTCAAGTTTCCTCTTTGCTAAAAACAAGTTGGATAATTCCAATTTAAATTAAGGAATTTCATTGATGCACATAGTTGAGTTTCCCTTAATTCTTCAAATAACAGCCAGAAACCAATCTCGCGCACAAATAGGACCTTGTGAAGAATTATTAGTACTAAAGTTATGGACAATATTTTTACTATCATTCAGCTAAAGAATCTTAATATATATATTGGCTGTCAACATTGACAGCGCCTTCGGCTATTCCTGTAGCTGTTTGTTCTACCCTTCGATTTGATTAAAACGATTTCGCTTAGAAAACTCCCATTTCTCTAGTACACTAAAGAGGAAAAAACTGAACTGCTTTCCAGTGCGTAGTATCGTCATCGAACGCCGCCGTTTTCCGTGTGTTGGTTTACCACTTTCCCATTTCGGATGTTTGATAAATTGATAAAATAATTAAGCAAATGTCCTTAAATTTTCCATAAGACGACACAATAGATAGTGAACAAAAAATAGGATAATGTTTTCCAAATTACTATTTAATACATTTATTTCGAAACAATACTCATGTATTATTTTTAAAATCTTTTTTTTTTCGTTCGTAAGTACGAGGGTTGTCCCGTAAAATCGTGGACAAAGCGTTTTTCTCGAAAAGTAATGGGCGCACTAAGCTGAAATTTTCAGTAAATGTTTATTCATCATATTTAAGCGTATCATAATGTTTTTGATAATATATATACAAAAATAAAGATTTTATTCTGCTTGAAGATGCACAGGGTACGGTCCTACGGCGCACGGTAAAAATAACGAGGTTGTATTAGAGAATATACAAGTATTAATTCATAATAAAAGTTTTCAATACATAAGATTAGGATGAAAATTATCCTAATTCGATTCTTTAATCAATTCTATTGTCTTTTTGAAAATTTCAAGGCATTTGGTTAAATTTTGGCTGTTTCCCGAGCATTCGAAGTAGAAAAGTTGTATACATAACACACGAAAAATGGCGACGTTTCATGACGTTACGGCGCACCGGAGATCAGTTCAGTTAGATTAGGATGTTTTAATGACACTTTAAAAGACTTTAAATGAATACAGAAGAACGAAAATATGAAAAATATCACCAGACTTTTAGTATACAAATAAAATGGACATTTTCTTAGCGAAGTCTTCTTGATTGAGTCCCCATATAGTACAAAACATGCGGACAGACTGCCATTGTAATAGTAAAAGACGCTGTCACTGTCGACCGTCGATATGAGATTCTCATTTACTTGACTGATGGTGAGAATACTGTCCGTAACTTGCTCATAATCTTCAGAAGATCGCATGAGGGTGCCACATTGGTTCCTTAACTGGTAATAAACACTCACGTATGTAAATCAATCAAATTTCTAAATTTAAGTGGGGCATATCCAACTTTATTTTAGCCAACATGATGCGTGACGCTGGTTTAGACACGTCGACGTTATCATCCGTGCGCCGTAGGGCGCTACAGTACATAACATAAAATATCACAATTTGTTTATTTATGCACATGTCTATTTGAAATTTGCTATGTATATTTATAATATATGTACTAAAAAGTAGTGAAACTTTCAGAACGCAGTGATGATTATTTTTCAAACTAGACAACTTGTCCACGATTTAACGGGACAACCCTCGTACATTGAAGCATGTTAATGAAGTATTAATTTTTTGTCTATATTTTATCAAAAGAATTCAGATACACTAAAATATGATAAATAAATACTTGCGAAAAATTTCATCTTGCAGCGCCTACTATTTTTCGAGTAAAACGCTTTGTACACGACAACCCTCGTATACTGCTCGAAAAAAAAAAGATGGAAAAAAAAGAATAACAAAATATTTTTCTGTCTCTATTTTTCGTCGTCTCAAGTCACGATCGGAGTCTGTATATATGCGCATGGAGCTTTCTCCAGAATGGGAGAGGATCGTACATTTTGGCTATGGTTTGCGACGATGGTATTTCTCATACGTAATATTCTAATAATTATGCAGTAACCCTGCAAATCATTGCGCAATACATATTTACTGCTTTGTGAACACACCAGAAGACTGACCTAAATTTAGCCCACTAAAATCGCATAAAATCCTAATAATAGTATTATTTCAGGGTGTTGCTAAAACGCGGAACGGAAAACGGAACAGAACGGAAAACGGAAAATATTATTTGAGATTAAATCATTTAAAATATATAAATTTCTCAGAAACGATATATTTTTTTACATATTTCATCCCTCCATGATCAATACAAGTTTAATTTGTCATTTTAAGTCTCTTACGAAAAGCGCTAACAAAGTAATGACATAGCTTCAATTTCTTTCAGTATTATTTTCTTACACTTACTGACTACGATTAATTTAACAGACAGAAAGTGTTGGAGGTTTCCATGATCATTTCAATAGTATAAAGGTTATGTCTGGAAAACGTTTGGGGGATATTTGTTATCTTTATAAATCATGATAATTGGTAAAACAAAAAAATAAAATGTAAAAAAAAATCTTCTATAATAAGATTACTATTAGAGCACCCCTTTCCCACAAGCCCGGATAACACTTCTATTGTAAAAACTGGTTTTTAAAATTTTATACAAGTTAGAGTCGCTTCCTATCAATTAAAGTCTTAGATAGATGGAGTTGTAAATCTTTACTGTAGTAAAATTAATATATCGTCCATACGCTTCATTAAGTTATTAAAGTGTGTTTTCTTTTTTGGGGGTGGGGGTGAACGACCCAGTAAAACGTGTTTTGGTATGTTGCAGCTATTCATATTTGAATTTCTCAATATGCATATCATGTGCCAGTCATGATTTCAAAGGGGAGAAAGACCCCCTGTCCTTTTTGTGACCAATATATGTGTGAGACTGAGGGAACCTACTCCGACCCCAAACTGCCCCTTCTCCATTTCAAGATTCCCGGATTTGCCAATTTATGCGGCATAATCTGTATACCAGTACGTCAAAACTAGCTCTTTTTTTGTTTTTACCGATACACGTATGTATAGATACTACTAGTCTTTTTTCCTTCCGTCTTTTTCAATACAAGATTTTTTTTTATTTATAAATAAGCATTGTCTAAAAAATGATTTGAACGAAACGTTTGACAGATGGATACTACTGCAGATCACTTAATTTTCGCGAGATTGGCATTGACTCTTTGTAAGCGAGACATAATTTTCACGAATAGTTGTTATTCCTCTATATAATCGTAAGGAATACTTTTATACGCGAGAATTTAAATTTCGCGAACGCATTCTCTCGCGTAATAACGCGAAAATAAAAAGTGATTTAGAGTACATCTAAATCACAGTATGTATTTTATTGACAATCGCATGTACATGTTATGAGAGGAGCATAATTCACAAATATATCATATTTTACGTTAATTTTTCATTAAATATGACTTTCATATAATGAATATTGCTTTTTATGTCTGATTCATACCGAATCAAGGTTCTTTCCTTGACATTTATTTTCCGTTTTCCGTTCCGTTCCGCTTTCCGTTCCGTTTTCCGTTCCGCGTTTTAGCAACACCCTATTATTTCATGCACATGTATTTGAGTACCTTTTTTGTACACCCTTTAAAGGGTAAATTTACTAGAGGCACGTAAGTTAGAGTTTCTAAATAGGAATGAAATATATGGGTAAATTGTCAATTATAGTCTTTGTAATTATAGCTTTGACAAATTTTTATCCGTTGAGTCGTTTTTGTGTCCGATATAATCAGACAAAGTCTTATTTTTAAAAACTAGAATGGTAATAAACTTAGCAAATTTTATGGCATCATATACCTCCAACAACCATTTTATTAACTGATTAAGATGTAGTGATCTTTTTTCTTCTTTCCTAAAATACATATATTCGTTTTACTAATATAGCATTGTGAACAGATATAAGAAATTCAAACGAAAAGACAAAGTTTGTTGAATTTCAATAAACTATTTTTAAGTTTTATAGTAAAAAAAAAATACAAAGCAGTATTCAAGAAACAGCCGTGTGTTGTTTAGCAATTATACTAGTATTTGATTTCGGAGTTAGACAGTGAAACAATCATACAATGAAATCTTCAAATACTTTTCAACAATTAATAGGTAATTTTAAAGAAACACAATGTGCGTACGAAACGGATTTTTTGAACGTGTGAGAAAAAACAAAAAAAAAAATGTAGGAATTGACACCTGTAGTTTGCATACGAATATACGAGTCGGTTCGTGTACGAGTTAGTTTAGTTCGGCGTAACTCAATGAATATTCATGAGGCGAGAAATAATGATAACGGCAAATATCAGGAATTAGGCTTTGTATCCATCAACGAAATGTCTTTGAAATAACTTGAAAGTATTTGTTAACTGTGTACATTTTATTTTCAAACATCGA